TTAACTTAAAGTTCAAAGTGAATCAAATAGAGCGTTTAGATGAAAATTTTGAATATTTAGATGTATAGTAAATTTAATATCTATTTTGTTAATTAGATGTGTGATTTGTTGAACAACTGAAATTTCAGTTAAGAAGCAGATTCACGTGAAAAATATTTCGACATTCAAAATATTGATTAGCAATGGTAGGTACTTGATTAAAGTAATACTAGTTTGAAATTATATTTTTTTAAAATCAATATCGACAACTTATTGAAAATTTAAAAATATAATTAATAATTATTATTTATAAGCAAAAATCTGTACATACACGTAATATATCACGAATAATATATAATATTTTAAATGTATAATTTTTTAATACATAAAGTATAATTTTTAAAATATAAATATGTATTGATGATTATGAGACACTATTTAAAATTCCAATTTTTTTTTAATTTCCAATTAGAATTATGATTTCGAGAATATGATTTCGAATATGATTTTGAATTAAGAAAATTAAGAATCTTGAAAATCGATCCTGGATTTCTCAAAAGAGCATCTTGAAAATATAATCGATAATAAAGTTGCATTTTAATATATTATAATTATACACATTATAATATATTATATATTATATATATTCCAATTATAATTTCGAGAATTCAATATCAAATAAAAATTTTGAAAATTGACAGAAATTGACAGAATATAATTGGTAAGAAAGTCGCATTATCTAAAATTCTAGGGCTTTTCTTAAGTTCTAAGAAATGTAATTATAACAATCCGGAATTTTAAATCTCAAAAATTGATAGAATATTAAGAGAACATTGTTAAAATTGCGGCAAAATTTAAAATATTTTCTGAAGTTTCAAAAATTGCGATTCTGATAACTCGAATTTTGAATCTTAAAAATCAGAAACTTCAAAAATTGACAGAATATTAGGAGAATATAATTTATAAGGAAATTGCATTATCTAAAAGTCTAGTGAATTTTGCAACTTCTAAGAAATGCGATTCCAACAAGTCCAAAGTTCGAAAATCGAAATATTAAAACAACATAATAAATAAAAAGGATATTAAAATTCCAAGAATTTCAAAAAATGATTTCATTCATGAAAACTGCAAATATTTAATTTTTTGATGATATAGGAATATAATTTGAAACAAAGTAGAAAAAATCCATATACCATTTAAACCATATAACCATTTTGATTTCAAAAATTAGAATTTTATTTATATTATAATAAATTTTTATATTATCAGAAAACTTATAAACTTATAAACATAATTAATTTAAATTTAATTTAATTAATTTAAACATAATTAATTTATTGTGATATACTTTACGAAATAATTAACGATTTCATTTTTGTATCGTCTTCTCTTTATTTTAATGCATTTCTATTAACAACAACAATTTTATTAATTGTGTTGTTGTGAGACTAAAATAATAAAAAATTACAAGATACCAGATTTAAAATAATAAATATTTTTAATAAATATTGCAATCAATAATATAAATAGCTATGTATATTTCAAAAGGTTATATAAATTAGAAGATACTTTCATAAATTGTTTCATAAAAAATAGATACTTCATCTCACAGTTTTTCTTTTTTCAACTATATAAATACGTTTTATATTATAAATTATAATGATATTTGTCATTTATAAAACATAAAACATACAATGTATATAAGAAATCTCTTTTATGATTTATTATACTGAATGATACGTAAAATCTCCACAACAGCAATAGACGACATACATAAAATCTTTACAAAAATTAATATTTTTCTAATCCTAAATAAAATAACTTGTATACGATAGAAGCATATTTTGCTAATTAATTATATTAAAATTTCTTATATTATTGAAATAATAATTCACATCCAGTTTTATTTAGCTTAAGAAATTATATCAATAATTTTCTTTAAAGAATTTCTAAATCACAATGTCGTATTTCTGGATGGTTTTTCTGAAAAAAAAAAGATGATCAAAACATGTTATTAAAAATTTTACATAAAATTCTAAATTTATATATAACATGTATAATTATTACATGAAACAATGTATCAGGTCGTTCATTAAATTCTGCGGTTTTTTTGCCCTAAATAGAAATACAAATTTCTTGTACTTAAACTTGTACTTAAATTTATTCAATCGAGAATTTATCTTAATCGACCACCTTCCGCCAACTGAAACTTCTGAAAGAGACATAATGCCGAGTCGTTAGAAGTCGCGCGACTTCCGCGCGAAAAAGTTCTCCAAGTACGTTCGCTATCAACTACTGAATCAAAGTACTGCCCGTCGAGATTGTTTTAGAGTGACCGGAACAAGTAGTAATCCAAGATGTGGAGAGTACAGTGAGTGCATGACTTCCCAGCCAAAAAAACGTTTCAATTTTATCAAAGCAGTGTATAGTTGGCGTTATCATGGTGGAAGACGACGCTCTTCCTGTTCGCCAATTTCGATTGCTTCTCCGCCATTATCCGCTTCAATTTATTCAGCTGAACACAATACTTGTTGACATCGATAGTCTGACCGTTGGAAGCAACTCGAAGTACAGGATGCCTTGCCCATCATACACTCAGCATTACTTTCTTCGAATGCAAATCCGCTTTGATAACCGATTGCGACAACTCACGAGCTCGTGAGGGATTCAAACATCCGCCTTCTTCGTCACTCTAAGTCATTTTAATCGCTACGCAACAGTTATATGGGGATGTCGAAGCGCTCAGCGATCTCCCGCGTCATCAAGTACCGGTCAACTCTGATTGCGGTCATTTGGTTGTCGTCAGTGATGGACGACTGGAGCGGGCAGCATTGGAGGTTTACATCTCCAGAACAAAAGCGCACAAATCAACGCTGGCAGGTATACACCACATTACACGCTGTGAGTCGGTCACTTTTACTCTTTTCCGAAGAAAAACAGCAAAATATGCCGAAAATATACCTTTTGAAAATGTACCTTTCTCCATTTTCAACGAATAGCGCGTACACAAAACATCCAAACATAATAAAGTCTCTGGCGAAATGTTTGTCAAAGGGTATGCGGTTCGGGCGACGCGTACTATTTTTTTATTGAACAACTACCACCTATCGAAAAAAATCGCAGAACTTAATAAACGACCTAATATCATTTTATCTACCTTCAGTTTTAATTCTATTCTGTCAATTTCTCCACCAAGCATGTCTACAATATTTTCCCCATGTTTCAATAAAAATGCCTCTAACTCATCAATATTTTTCATATTTTTCACTTCCTACAAAAATATTTGATTCTTATTATTTATAATTTTCAATAAAAATATGTAATAAGTATGTGTAATATATATATACCTCCAACATTACAATAAGATCATGTTTATCAAGGTAAGATCTTGTGAGTTCGCGTCCGTCAAAATCCAATTCGGCTTTATATCTGACTAAATTATTACCCATGTCGATGCCTTTCACATCGTGAATTGCACGAACCTGAAAAACTTTGAATATAAGAAAATATCTAAAAAAAAGAATTAAAATATTAATAATTGATTCTAAGAATGACGTTACCATTATATCTGCTTCTAATTCAGCATTAATTTTATCGAGATTCTCTTGAGATATACTCCTTCCTATAAGTGCAGCGACATTCGAGTATATTATAAAAGATGCTACTCCACCGAGCAAACCGCCAACCAAAAGCGAACCGATAGCGTCAAACATTGAATTTTCTAAATATGAAGTCAAGCCCATACATCCAGCTGCGACAATAACTCCAAGTACCTAAAAATGACATCAGAGTTTATCTGAATGCATAAAAAAATAAAAAATAAAAAAAAACAAGAAAAGGAAAAATGACACTTACAGCCGCAAAGTCTTCCATGAGAACAACATTTACAGATGGATCTTGTCCTTCCAAAACGAAATGTTTCAAGCTTTCTTTCTTTTCTTCTGCACCTTTCTTTATAGAATGCAATGCTATCATTAGAGTCGCTCCTTCAGACAACAGAGATCCGCCCAGGACAAAATACGCCCAAAAAAGAGAATCTAGTGGCGCAGGAAAAAGAAGACCATGAATTCCGTGATAGACGGAAAGACCAGTACCAACGCAAAAAATCCCTACGCCCGATATCAAGGAGGAAACGTACTTCATATTTGTGTAACCATACGGATGATCAGGATTAGGGTTCTGCAAATTTGTACAAAACTGATGAAGAATAGGCTGAAATATTTTTTAAAATTATTTGCATTGAATATTTATCTACCTGCACGGATTTATGAATGCCGTATGCTAAAATCAGTTGATTAAAGGTGTCTGCTGCAGAGTGTATGCACTCAGAAAACATACTATGTGAACCAGTATATAGCCAAGCAATTAATTTACACAAGAAATTACTAGCATTTCTGAAAAGCAAGAAATTAATCGAAAATATTCACATAATTACATAATACACATATATTCAATACATACATAGCAATCGCAGTTAACACTACTTTGCCAGATCTTCCGAAAAGACCTTCCTTCTGAATTATCTCAGTCTTGCTGCCAATTTCCCGTCTGTAATCCCTCAATCTTCGTTTAACCGTAAAAACATCTATGATAAAAAGCTTGTGTTTCAATCTATGTACCAATTATTATTTTACCAAAAGGATGTTTCTATCAGATTATCAGAATATATGTAAATAATCCTATAAGATAGACAATCTCTGAGCACAGATATTCTTTGTCTTGAGGAAATATTCTCATAGAAACAAATACTTTGAATTAAATAGATAAATAAAAGTATGTGTATTTATATTTACTTTGCTGATAAATCTTCCGCTCAACTTCTTTCTTTAAAAGCTCCTTTAGCAGAGCTTCTTTGGAACCCCAAACTTCTAAAGCTCTATAAAAATCGAGAACTTTAATTTAATTGCATTTTATATAATAATACGTATATAAGTATACAATAAATTTATTAAATTGATTAAATTCTCTTACTTAGCCTCGACGTCTTTTCTCCAGTAAACTGTGATAGGTGGTTCTAATTCATACGGGGAACGTCTCTTTGTTTTTGGTAAAGATTCCAGATCAGAGGGTTTTAATAAAAAATCTGACATAGCTCTCACAGGCGTAATGAAATTACGTTCCAAAGATGTCGATTTATTAACTTTGTCTTTCTTCTTTGCTAATAAATGTCATAAGATTAATATTTTATATTAAGAATTTAAATTGGTACTTATCATTGTACCTTTTTTAGACATAACATCATCTTTCGATGGCTCTTTGAATTCTGCAGACTGCTTCTCAGCAAGCTTTGTTGCCGTTTGTCCCTTTCCATCTTCCTTCTCATTAGAAATTACTGGTTCTATGTCTAACACTCTCTCTTTTAATTTACCTAACTTCTCTTCATTTAATTCTATTATTCTCTGCTGAACATCCTCAGCTAGTTTCTTGTCAGACTTGTCCTTTGCATCGTCAGACAAAAACCTTGCTATACAAGTCCATCTGCAATCCTCGTGTCTGCCTATCTTTCTGTTAGTAAAGATCTTTTGAGAATTCAAAAAGGTATATGCTTTGTATCGCGTACCATATTTGGGCACTACTAAAATACTGGCATGTCTTCTAATCAATCCAATCTGGAATATACACAATTGATCGACATGGTAGCGGCATATCACGTTTCGAACAAAGTTCGCGAGATTATGGGGCCGATGCAACATTCTTGCTCTCTCTACACTTTCCTGACGTACATCACATAACCTATAAAAAAAATTAATCGATTATAAAAAATACTGCCCTGATAAAAAAAATTCTTGATAATCATAACGAATAATGTATAACGTAAATGACATCACGTTCAGAAATTGTTTGAATTCGACTCAATAGATAGATACAGTGTATTTGTTCAAACATGCTCGTTGTGAAAACATTCATCCTTTCTGTCTGTCGAGATAACTCACTAATAATAAATGCATTGTTAAGTGACAGCTGCAAGATATTATATTGTTATTGTTCGACAGTGGATAGTTATAAACTGAGCGAACTGAACAAACTCGCTCGTCCTAAATCCAATGACAACGTCCAATGTCAATAATCACATTCATGCTTCGTGCACGGACGATGAAAAAACAGAGGGAGGTGCGCAATGATCATGAATGATCAATCAAAGAAGCTGATATCAAGATCCAAACATCAAGCAGTGACTTTAAAATTGTAATTTTGTTTCTATTCCTGCAATGAACTGTACTGTAAAATTTCTTTCTCGCTCCTTTACCTTACCAAACATATATTTATTTCATTTTAAGTACAAGTGTACACTAGTTCAAATCACAGAGAACCGGAGAGAAGCCTGAGGCTGGTGTTCCATGGCGCGGAAATCCACAGCGGAACGGAACGCGCGAACCAATCACAGCAAAAGAACGAACAGAATGAACGAGTTTTCTTTTGATTCTTTCGCTGTGATTGGTTCGCGCGTTCCGTTCCGTTCCGCTGTGGATTTTTTCGCGCCATGGGACACCAGCCTGAGAGCCATGGGTAATGATGCACGATTTTGTGGTTCTCTTCCGTGCTATAATATATTTCATGATGTAAATAAATATATATGGATACTAATTATTATGAATTAATGAAATGGCCCAGAAACTTGGATAAGAATGAAACTTGATGTATCAAATTTCAATTTTACATTTTCTTTTGTGTTTACATTTTTTTTTTGCGAAAAATACAATACAATAAAAACTTACAAAGTAGTAATCGATTATTTTATCGAGTACATTTTAAAGTGTTGATGCTTCATGATAGTCGGCGAGAAAATGAGATGTACTTTCGGGATGAGGAAGGCTTGCAGTTAATTGCTGTAAGAATATTGCAACCCTGAGAAGATTACGATTCGAACGCTTATCTCATTTTCAATAGAGCTTTACTATTAACAAACAAATTATTATTAACAAACAAATTTAACAAAAATAATTAAGATCGAATCGAATCGGTGTACCGTGAATAATTAATTACAAGTACGACATGTTATCGCGGTTTAACGAGTCTAATCTAAGAGAAGATTCTGACAATAATAACGTTTTAGATATGATTGTACGGTACATTTAATTTTTCTACTCAGCTTGTTTCTTGATAGTAAAGTTAGAAATGTAGCGTATAATCAGCAAAATCAACAGCATCTCTGGAAATACAACTGTAATCAACAATTTGTCTCGCAATTTTCTATTTACTGGCATTTTCATAATTCAAATGTATATATTAATGAGTGAATAGACCATTAATTCTGTTATGAATACATTATTTTATATGTATATTTTACATATCGAGTCTCTCTTTTTCCTTTTTATCAATTATCTTATTAGGTTACGTTACCTTGAATTACATAAAATTGTATTTTTTTCGATCTGGTGCGCATAAATGGCGAAAAAAATTTGTTTAAATAGCATATGAATGATATAAGATAATATACAATTACGTGCGATAATACTGCAGTGAGTCATCGTACGTCATACTTGTGTGTATGGCTTCGTTACCATTATTCTTGATAATTATCATTATTCTTGATGATAGTTATACTTGTCATATGGATACTGCTTATACTTTGACAATTAATGAATATTATAACATTAAAGTCTTATAATATTATTAGTTTTGAAAAAGACACAAGTACATTTGTCGAAGCACATCTGGACATCACACATATACATATATACAGAAAAAACAAAGGAATATTGTACTTTGATCGCTTTGTGTATTTTCAATCAAAAAAGAATACTTCCTTCGTTCTCGTTATTGAAAATGTTTTCTAGTTACGCAATGAGAAATCTGAGAAATGGATGTAACACTCTTGTTAGTCTCTTTTACATCAGATCGGCTGATGTAAAAGAAATGACTGCCAATGATTTTTAATATTAAAATAATAATAATATATTAATAATATATTTATTATAACATAATATGTTTCATAATATGTTTTTAATATGTTTCATACATAATAATTTTCATTATTTTCCATTCATTTTACATTGTATAAATAATATTGATTTATTAAATGTTTATTAAATATTTATTTTATATTCATTATTCATTTGCAATAATGATTAATGACAGAGAAAATATTTATTTAATGTTCATTTTACACTTTCACGTACATTTTACAAAAAAATTCTTTTTCGATAATTCAAAAAGCATTTTATAAAAGCATACATTTTGATTTCTACACAGTTAAATCGAAATTGTTTTTTGAAAAAATTAACTTCTTTCTTTTTCTTCTTTTCATAATTTCACTCTCATAAGTTTCATTCAAGTTCAATTTCATAAGTTCATTCTCGAACAATACAGATGGACGCGGCAAAGTTCTAATATTTCTTGTAACTAAACAATCTTACAAGATAGAATAAAAGATACAATATTATAAATTTTAAACCATGTAACGAAATAATGATGAAGTGGTGCCTTGTAAATGACAGCCTACAAAATTAGTCTCTTCGAGATAAAAGTAAGTAAGAAACAGATTTGACAGTGCAATTTCGTTTAGGTCTACGTAAAAATTAATTTAGGAAATAATATTTCTGAGAGACATATTTGTATTTGCTATTGAAAAACTCTTTGATTTTATTGCAAGTTCTTTTTTTTTTAATTTCTCTCTATTGTCTGGGATAAATATTAAATAAATGTTAAATAAACGTTAAAAAAGTGTTTTTTAAATTATTTTAAGAAATATTTTTCAAACATTAAGAACATATTTTTTCAAAAATTAAAATAAATGTTTTTTAAACATTAAAATAATGTTTTGTCAAATGCTAAGATAAATATTTTTTTAATAAGAAAAGGACATTTAAAGGATCGTTATTTTTAATGCTTTTAAAAATGTTTTTAAAAATATTTTATTTGAATGTTTTAAAAATATTTTTAAAATCATTTTTTTTACTGATTGAGTAATAACCTATTAATTATAGTTTCACATTTAAAACATGAACACGATACGATTGTAACATCAGCAACAAGTCAAATCTCAGAAATGTTTTACGTATGTTATTTGCAAGTTATATGAAATATCATGTCGTAAATATGAAAAGATATGATACAGAATTATATCCATTGTCTAATCGGTGTTCCGACGAACAGCAATTTATAGAAAAATTAGTCAATGAGGATTCTCATTTAAACAGCAATATATAAACGGTGATATCGCAAAAACATTGTCTAAACATTGCTGAATGCGAAAACATAATAACATCGATCGATAAGTATGAAAAACGTTTCTGTGTCTACGTTTCTGTGTCTACAATTGAAAAAGTTGAGATAGAAGGAAATGAGAATTGTGAGGATGATAAGACGATTTATTGATTATAAGGAAACGCGACAAATCTTTCCAAAATAAGAATTTCTTTTTTTCTGGATTTTTTTCCTGATTCGCGCGTACGTTCGCTATTATTAAGAATATTAAGAATATGTTTTGATGTTACATTTCTAAATCAGAAAATATCTATTTTATCTAATATTTCAAAAAATTGCTGAATTAAATCTTTGATATATTGATATATCTATGTAAAACAAAATAAATAGAGGCAAAAATAAGAATCGCATGTGTGATTGAATTTTACTATATGACAACGTGATTTTTATTTCCATAATTAAACTACTATAATTGTATATTTTATTTCAAGCTTTTTTTTTTAGTAGATTTCTATAAATTTTTCTCTCTGTCTTTGGACGCAGCAAATTAAATCGATTATCCTGTATCGCTTCTTTTTATTAATTTTGTAAACGTCAACGGGATCGTAGGAAGAAAGACATATCGTACATATTATGCTTTGGAAATACTCATCACATCTTTGGAAGAGTATATTTAAATCGACAAAAGGATCGTCAAAAGATTAAAACGATCGTCATGCAAGAAAACGAATGTTCTCTTTACTCGATGCATTTCTTCTTGTCTTCATTAGTCCCTCTGCAATCGGCTGTTGGAGAAGTATATGGACAACCATGGATCGTCATGCAAAATTGTGAGTAGTAAAAAAGTAATGAGGGAAGAGTCAGTTGAAATAATTTGGAGAATATAATATGCGAAACAAAGCTGAAATAGCTTTATACTCGATAATTAAGCTACCTTATACAACTTAACAGTTGAATTGTCCAAGATCAGAACTATTCGTTCAATTATTAGCGATTGACAATTAAATAAAAAATGAAAAACGAATGAATCGAATGAAATGTAAAAAAGAAAACTTTATTATGCGCGCGCGTGTCATTCAAGAAAATTTTTACCACAGATTTCCCAGTTGGTTCTGTTTTGTATTTTGATGCTATTTTGCACGTAACATATATGATTTTTCAAAGATCAATTTCACAACATGTTCATCACCAGGTGGATTAAATTAAATTCGCGAAAATGACTACTACTTTATCGGGCATTACGAATTCTTTATACTTACTTACCTTTGGTCTTGCATCGCACATTGGCGGGATTATCATTGATAATTATTTATTTGCGCATATATAATAAGTTTACATTTGTGATATTCGTTTTTATTCGTCGACAATAGATCTAAGCTATGCAATAAAAAAAAAAAAACGAAACATTTTGGATCAAATTTGATAGTTTATATTAGTTAATTTGTTAATAAGCAGTTTATTTGTCGTATGTAATTTGTGTTTCGTGCGATATCTCTTTGTAGAATAACAATATCTTTGATATGTTGCGTTCAACCGTTGCAACCGTTATCAACCCTTAATGATTACTATCGTCGATATACCGAGTTGCATTTTTCAATTTCCTACTAGACATACATGTAAACGTAGAATGTGGAATGCGGCTCCACGGAATGTAGATGCCACATTCGCTCTCATGGTGAGTTAAAAATTGAATAATCTGGTTTTTTATCTTGAATCTTGAAAAGATAATATCTTCGGCGTGTCAAATCCACAAATACTACCATTGTGATTTTACGCGAGCCAGCAAGTTGTGAGTACTCGAAATTATTGGATTTCATTAATGGCTGAATCGAATCAAGTTCTAAGTAGGTAGCTCAATTGAATTTGGATACGAGTTGCATAATAAAAGTGATTTTATTTTTTTTTCTACGTGTTTTACGAGTAGAGATATTAAGAATCAAAGTCCAATTCGGATTTTCACTAAGAAATGTTATCGTCGTCGCCCTTGTACGGTTGTAAAATATAGTGATAAGATTATTTGCGATGTTCTGAGGATAACACTCATTTTATAATTGTGAGTATATAAACGCAACGTTTATATTAAAAGAGGAAGATTGGAAAGCCTATTAGATCAGTGAACGCATGCAGTTAATTATCGAGCTAGCATTTTAAGTTATTAAATGTAAATATTTTTTTTTAATCTTCATGTTATATGATTACATGATATTGCATGATATGTGTGTTATATCAATTCTGTATGTGCAACATATTTATTGAGCTATTTTTAAAGAAATAAAATTTATGTATCTACACATGCGCGAAGGATAATAGTTTTAATAACGACGTATTCAAATAAAGATACTTTCTGCAAATTGTTTATAATTATCTAAACTTATGTGCTAATGATGCCAAAAAAATGGTGTTTGGTCAAAAGGATAATCAATCTGCAATAGTGGGATTTTTTACGAAAACATATCAAAACAATAATCTGCAGATCAGGTAAGAACAATTTATTTAACTTTACAAAAGCCCAGACAAGGTATATGAATCTTAATAGGTATATGAATTTTTTTAATATATATATGACTATCATCTTGTATTTTATTAATACTTTTTCAAGTATCTTAAGGAATAATTATTTTTTAGTACATCAGAATCAGTGACATGTGAGAAAGTTGATTTAAATAATGAATTATCAAATAATTCATGTTTTAATAAACAAGAAAGGATAGCTGAAGACTTGTCAACAACAGATGTCATAAATCTTGTAAGATTATAATAGTATTTGATAAAAAAATAGTAATGTAATACTATTTTTAGTTCATATATAAGTCATGTAAAATACTTATAATTTATTACAAAATAACTAATAATTATTACGATATTTTAAACTGCAGGATGATTCAGATAGTTCAGATACATGCGAAAAGCTGAAGACATGTCCAAAGACACTTAGTTACACAATGACGTCACATCACGTTAAAGGTTCAATAGAGAGAAAAGAAATATCTGAAAAAAAATCGGATCTTTCAAATTTATCACAAAAGAGTGATGATTATGTAAAAAGTTCTGTGTCTTTTAACAGTGAGGAAGATAAGAAATATATTCTTAAAAAATATTTACATCAAATAAAAAAAATAGAATATCCAAATGAAGTATCAGTAGAAAAAAGTGGAAGGAAACAAACTATTGTTCCACAAACTAATTATTACAATAAATGTGATAATAAATATTTGCCTTTTACCAGTACAACATCATTAGAAGAAAACAAAGAAAAATTTAACGAGATCAATGACATAATATCTAAAAACACAGAAAATAAACATTTAGGGACTCCTAAAAAACGTAATATAATATCTAACAAACAAGAAAAAAATACTATAATTTCAGATTCTCTAATTCAAACCGATAGCTCTAATTCAAAATGCAATAGCCACGGATTACCAAGAGGAAATTGGCTTGGTCCTGATGTTAATTTGAATTTGAAAGATTTAGGTTTAAATAAACTGCTAGGTTCGTGGATTGAATTTGTTCAAAAGAAATCAGTAATGTCTACAATACCCGTAAGTTTTTTTTTTTTATTATAAATTGATATATTTACATATACGTGCATGCGTGCATATGTGTGGGAATACTTATTTCCTTTTTATTGTACTTAGGTTACAAAAGATAAGTTGCTTGAAAGGCACAAAGATTTACAAGAACTTCAAATTAAAGTTCTCGACAAATTTTGTATTGCACTTGAGTTGATTCCATTACCAGTACTGGAACAATTCCCGAAGTTTGATTCAAACTCTTTCAAAAAGTTGCAAAGCTTGCTTCGACATATAAAAGCTAAATTACGTTTAATACAAACAACATTATCAAAGTTACAAGAGGAAGAAAATACTATTTCTGAGTCTCTAGAAACACTTAGATCCACATCATCAAAATCAATTGAAATACCAATTTCATGTGTGTCTGAAAGTCGTCTGACGAATAACTATGACACTTTTGACACACCAAGTACCTTAGTATCTGAGATGGACTTTCATCAAGAGATAGCAAATATAATAGAATCATCGTATACAAACACAAAGGAAAGCGATAATAACTTGGAAGCTATATCAGTAATTAAACAACCTGAAGCCATAGTTCCAAATAAAAAGAGCACTTTTCAATTAAAAATTCCTGCAATTCAATTAAAAAGACCTGTTAAAAACAGTATTAGATACTGAAACAGCAAAAATGTGGGAGATGAATCAAAAAATACCTAAGACAATGAATTCCTCACTAGATTCTAAATGCGTTTCCATAAAAGGATACGTTTAACAGCAATATTAAGACATCACTAAGCAATGAAAAAATATATTATGCAAAATTCAAATAACAAGATTAATATAAATAAATCTCAAGGTAAAACAAATAAATCA